CACTAAGTGTGAAGGAGGAGGGGACTGCTCTCCCAGACAGTTCATGCATCTGAAACGAACTGACTGAAAAAAAGCTTATGCTGGAATAAGTCTGGTTACTTGTTAAGGTGCTGCTGGACTTCCAAAAACACAAGTCCTCATCTTTACCAAAAAACATTGAATCTATAGATGGCAAATAGAGGGCAACAACACTGAACAAACAAAATTTTTTTTAAATATCTTGGTATAGCCTTACAATCGTCTGGACATTGGAGAGCTCAGGAACTGCATGCCACAGAAACTACCCTCTGCCATTCTAAGATTCTATTTCACAAAAGGAGCCTTCTTTATTCCTGTGACAATCAAGGTCTTCCGAGGAAAGACTGTCAGCCACCTCTTATACGGTTCCCACCTCTGTATTTACAAAGAAAGGCGCTCACTAGAAGCAGTACAATCCAAGTTCCTATGAACAATCCTTGGAGTCCCGCAATGTATTCCAAAGCCCTTCTCAGACTAGAGGCTGGGCAGATCCCCTTGGAGACTCATATGTGGCTACTAGTTAAAACTCATCTTCAGTTCGGTGGGTCTAGAACCATTGATCCTTGCTGACAGCCACCATTCAACCTGGCAAAGAGCAACTGAGGAGGAACATGGCCTCTCACCCCAAGTCTTACTGCACCTTGGGTATCAAAAAACAAAAGAAATAATTAAACAGAGATTCTTGGATCATGCCCTACAATCAGATAAGGTACAGATACAGAAATATCCAATTATTTGGATATGCCAAATGCTTTCAACCAGCAGATTATCTTAGATCCCTTGAAATCTCCAAATACTGGAGAATCTTTACCCTGGCATGCTTTACTGCCCTACCTTCAGACCTCCTGGAAGGCAGATACCATCGTGTCCCACTCCCTCAGAGGCTCTGTCCAAGCTGCACAAGGAGAGTAGACTCTATTGAACATGTTCTGCTGCACTGTTTATTCTATAATGACATCCAATCTCAGTATATCGCTCCAGTTTTGTAAACTTTACCAGGAAGATCTGAACAAATTTATGTCTCTTTCTTTACAGACTCTTCCCAGGAGATAACTAATAAAGTTGCCAATTTTTGCTTTTGGGTGTGCAGGATACGCAAGGGGCTGACTGAGTACCATTTTTTTTTTAATGGCATCTAGATTAGTTATCACTATATTATCAGCTGTGGAAAAGACCTGCAGTACAAAGCACAAGTATGAGAACTCACAAATTAAAAGCATGGTTAAAATCACAATAAATAAGCATTCACCAGCTGTCCTGTCAAGGACTGAAAGCACATTGTGCATCCAAGCGAATTCCCAAGAGTACAGACTGACTGGTAACTGTATAAGAACAGGGGTGAGAGGTGGGAGGGGGGACTGCGGAGCAGCGACACGCTTGATCTCTGCTCCCGGAGATCACCGGTATTTCGCTTCTTCTAGGGGAGTTTCAGGGGATCCCGTTCTCCACTGGACCTCCTGGAGGGAGGTCCGGCGCAAGGGACTTGATTTGGGCTCCTCTCAAATGGCAGCGAGTGGATGGAAGCCCAGAATCATCCCAGATGCAAGAAGCGAAATAGCACAGTCATGGCAGCCATGATTCACACCAAGCTGTAAACATCCCCACAAGAGAGAAACTAGGAGCCTCATCCATAACATTGATGAAGAAAATCACTACTTGTAAAAAGCAACACTGAAGAATCTGACAATTTCTCCATAAAGCCCCCTTTAAATCATTAAAAGGACAAGGAAGGAGAGGCGGAATTCCCTTCCTCCCTCTGTGACGAAGTGGCTACTACCGTGCCAGTAACATTGTGTTGTTAAACGTGTCTAGGGGCAAAGAGGATACAAAGATCGTTGTTTAAACTCTTTCTATTCTTAGGTTTCTGCTACTTTTCACTTTTAATGGATACAAATGGTCGTTTCTCCCTGCGAATCTCTTTTGGATGTTAATAGAAATGCAAATGACTTTAACGAAGGATACTTTTCACTAAAGGAAGTAAAGATCATCCTTGGGGGGAGGGAAGAGAGACTGTGACGTCCTCCTTATTGGGGAGGACTAGGTTCACTTTAAAAGTGTTCTTTTTATTTTGTTCTACTGGGTATATACGGCTGCCACCAGGAAATTTTAAGGATTTCCAAACCTTTATACTTTTACTTCTGCTCTTACTGGTTAGGTAGACCGAGTTCAAGGCTTACGAGGAACTATGTGGTCCTGAGGAACTATTTCTTTCAGATCTGGTATACTTGAATAAAAGAGGATTTATTGAAATAATTCATAAATAAAAGGGTAGAACTATGTAACTATTAATGTGTAAATAATGAACAATTGCTTGGTGTATCACACACAATCTGCTCCCTTACTGACAGGGATCTTTCAGGTAACTTTGTAACACTTTAACTCAAGGTCATATATGTTCACTGTTTCTCTCCAGGACATACAGCCTTTCCTATAACTTGTCTTCAATTAAACTTTCATTTATTTTTTCCTATTCTCTCAGCCTTCCTTCTGTTTCTCACTGAACTAACTTATTCCACACAGGACTGCTTCTCATTTCCCTCACACACAGAACTAACTGAACTTCACAACTGTCCAACCTGTAACTATCACTCCTGACTGACATACATACTCATCCACTCATTTTCACTTCCAAAACCCCTCCCCCTCTCTGGCAACCACCAATCATACCACGATTGCTTCTCTCAACCACTCTAGTCTACTTACCACCGCCATGCAACCAAACTTTTAAAGAGACACACACATGCCAAAAACAAGGAATCGTTACAGAGACATTAAATCTGAACTTTCTGTTCTAAAATAGTACCCTAACTACTATGTTTCCCATTGAAATTTATAAAAACTATGCTGACTAAATGCAATGAAACTGCCCACACAGCAATGAAAACAGGCACAAAATTCATTTAGTGTCTCTTCAATCTTTTAGGAATGGGTCACATCTTACCCATGTGCCTCAATGTCAAATCATTCAAAGCATTCATCCAGACTTCTCCAGAGAATGCCCCCTTCTGATTGCACACTGCTTGTCTCTACATGATGCAACTAGTTGATGTTTTTGATGTCACAATGACCTGGGAAAGCAAAAGTGTCACAAGAACTAACTCCTTTTATTAGGACAAACCGAACTAAACCAAAGACAGTGCAAGCTTTCATGCTCACCAGAACTCTTCTTTAGTGTGTATGTTATAAAATATAAAAAGATAGATGGGTAGGAAGCAGATTTTTCAGGCTATGATACTATAATCTGATCTTACAAGTATCGTCTATGCAGGAACAAAGGTTAACTTTATTGCTGATTATAGGTTACAGCATATTATCTGGGAAGAAGTATTTTGATGGCCTCTGCTCTTTGTTCACATATTGGAAATACAGAAACCAACAATAGTCTAACCATGTTCTTCTTAAATGCTAAAATACCAAAAAACCCACAAAATTCCCTTACAGGATGAAACCAGGTATACCTAATAGTCATTATATAAATAATATTTAAGATAAATTAAGGTTTTCCAGATTCTGTTTATAATTCTCTTTTCTCCTTGTCACATCCCTGTGGTTGATATTGGCTTAGCTGCTCTGATGTCACTGAAGTCTGGGCAGTAGAGGCAGATTACTGAATACTAACGGGGACTTGAAAGAGTCTAAAATGGAATTATAAAGTCAGCTGACAACTCTTGCTCAATTAGAACTGGTCCTCATAAATGAAATTCCTAGGATCACAAGAAGCAGGTCCCAAGTTCTCAATGCACTCAAAACAACTGCAGCACAGAATATCAATACTGTCTTGAAAAGCAGGTTTGATTTGTCTCCATTTGGCTATGTCATCCAGTTTTTAATATATTTTATTATAGGGCTAGCTACAGGAATATTTCCCCACCACAGTGCTACTTAGGAAGAGATCACATGAAGACTTTGCGCTTACACATTCTCTTCTGCTAGCCTCACCACAGGGAAAAGTGAATTTATCTTTTAAAAAATTATATTCCATCTTTCCAATTTCTTCTTAAGGCAGCTAAAGCTGGTATCTTCCCAGTTCTTTCATCTCCTCTCAGAAGAAGGCTGAAGTCAATTCCTGATTCCACCCACCCCCGTATTACTCATTCAGAATCCTGGAAACACAGGCACCATATTTCAGAAGATTTATTGTAGGGTATCTTCATATTTTGTTTTTTTCTGAGTAGATGTTAAAAGTCCCTCTCAGCGTGCAGGATAATGTGGGACAAAAGGCTGATTTTTTTTTAACTTTCACACTGCTCTGACTGTTTATGAAGCACTGGTATTTCTATTATTGAACTGATATGATAGAAAAATTGACACAGCTACTATATACTTTTCCTTTACTTTGGAGTACCATATTTACAAAGACCAAGTATTCAAAGTGAAATATCCATTTAACATACTGTACTCTAATCATCATACATCACAAGAAACAGGAGAATACAATACATGTTTAGAAGCAAGGGTGAACTTGCTTTAACCTGCAAGGCTAGCAAAGTTTTGAAGAACAGAAAGTTTCTTTTATATGTACCAGCTAATAGCCTCTAAATTTATTATGGCGTATGTTGAGGAGAGACCACCCCCACCCATCTCTGTCTCCACTCTTATGCCCTATTTTCTTATCCTACAGCTCTTTCCTCATCTCCACTTCTTTTCCTTACTTTCTATGTCCAATGCTAGTTGATATGTGTTACTGCTTTCAGCAATTCAAAATATGTCATCTAAAGCACCTGAAAAGCAGCCTTCAGAGATTCTCTCTAGACAAAATGTTTTGCACTGCCTAAAGAGTCATGAAAGGTAACACCACAGCAGGGACCGGGGGTGGGTGGGT